CGCCTACTCTCATCACCGTCCAATGTTCATCGCACGGTCACGATTGTCCGGTAGTGTTGTTTTTTTTTCTACAAATCAGAATGATTTGAAATTTGGAGCGTGTGTACATCTTAGTGAGACGTACCTAATTAAAATATATAAAAAATAATTCACAAAAAAGACCAAAATATCCCTAAAACGTTTCGGAGGTATATTGGTCAATTTATTTCATGTAAAATGTTTTTTTTTTTTGATATTTTTCATAGATTCTCTTACTTTTGATGAATACATGCTCTAAATTTCAAATCATTCGGAATTGTAGAAAAAAAAATGAAAAATAAAGTACTACTGGATAATCGTATCCGTACGATGAACTTTGGACCGTGATGAGATAAGGCGAAATCACTGTTCATTTTCGCCTATAGACGTTTTGTAGTATCTTCTATATATATATTATTCAAGTCCTATTTTCTGAATAGTAATCCTATTAAGTCTTAAAACGTTACCCAATTGAGTGGTGGATAGCTATGGTTCGGGCCCTCTTTGTCATTTGGGTCCCAGTCCAGCTGTCCATTGTGTCCACCATTCTTTTCTTTCATTTTATCTCTCGTCCTTTTTTGTTTTTGCTCTTTTATGTAGTTACACCGCATGGAGGAAAGACTTGTCCCTCTAAAACGAGACTGTAGTGTCTTTATCATTTTCAAGTTTGAAGCCAACGTATGGACCAAAAGTGGACATGTGTAGGCGTTTGCGTATGCGTCTCTTTATAAATGGGATGTACCAGTTTTTTGTTTTTTTTTTTTTTGGGGTGAATCACTGGGGGTGAGAGCCCCTACCTTAGGTAGGAATTGAGGTTAGTACGTATTGTTGTAAATCGCCAAGCAGACCAATTAAATCGAGGCTGTTTTCATAAATAGCTTATTAAGCCCTGGCTCTAATGCATATTTTAATTATTTTAGAGTAGATTCTTCCTAAAAAATTTCAGTAGGAGATCATGGGGAATTAAGAGTTATGGACTCATCATTGAGAGGTTCCAGTTCTGAACCTGTAAAATCCTGAAATTGTACATTGAGTTATGTGAATATTTCCATCAATCAAATAATTTTATTTCTGAGTAATATTTGACTCCAACTTATAAAATTGAGTCCATTTAAAAATAAAAAATTCATGGATAAAAACCATTGTAATTTGAAAGATATATTCATTTTTATTAAAACCATTGCAATTTGATAGATATATTCATTTTATTAAAGGGTGTACAAGTAGTGTTTTTTATAATGAAAACTGTTTCAGTGACATGAATGTCATGATTTTATTTCAATTCTTAACATAATATTTTGAGGTCGACACTGAGTTCTTAAGCTGTCATTATGAATCCAGTTTCTAACAAAAATTATTTGAGATATAAATTTTTATGGGAAATAAAGAAAAAATTTCTTTATTGGAAATAGATCACCCTGAATTTCTGCAGTTTGGTGTGTGTTTCATTGAGATGTGAATATCTATATTTGTCAAGCTTACTCAACATAATGATATAAGGCCTACATAAAGATATTTGTTGCCCTTTCTTATCTACTTTCAATCAAAAGAAGTTTGAAAAGAAACTCCATGTGGGTAGAGAGAGAATACAATTTTACTAGGTAGCATTCATTCATGAATTCTATAGTATAACATATTTTGGGACGTGAATGTCACTTATTTAATTTCATAAAGAAAAATATTATTTGATTTTCACACCATGATGTTGAATTTTTTATTTTGAGCCAAGTTTTCAACAGAAAATGTCTCAGGAAGAAAATCTTTGTGGATTGAGAAAAATAATTATTTTATTGAAAGATGAGCAACCTGATTTTATATTGTAAAAATTGTATTGTAATGTGAATGTTACTAATTAATAAACTTATTAAATGGTGTGATTTGGGGATGGCATTGAGTATTGATTTTATAATTTTTTTATACTAAAATTGTTTCACCGAAACTCTCTATGAGTTGAGAGATATCATATTTTCTATGGGATGCTCATCTTCTAATGTGCAATAAATCGAAAGATGTGATATGTTCAAGAACATCTGTGTACTCCTCTTAATAGAAGCCATTTTATAGCTTCATTCAATGTTTTATAAGTATGCTATGAGTATTGTTTTTAACAGTAAACTTCAAAGAGAGGTAATACAATGTTGGGGAGATATGACAGTCTATGTGAAGGGTGTTCAATATGTGAACAATAGAAAATAGAAGAAACAAAGTACACGTAAAAGTCTCTTGGTTTCTCTTGATAATGAAGGGATACGTAGAGAGATTTGGTGACAACATAGAAACTGTAAAAAATCAGTGGGAGAATCGAAATTATGATTTTTGGAGTGATGGCATGAAGAAAAGTGTTTTCTCATGATATAAAAAATGGAGAATCCAAAGACCAAAAAGATGAACACTTGGATGACCAAGTGATTCTCCATCAGTTGTATGGTCTCTCAAGACTACAAAAGTTTGTCGGGAAAAAAAACCAGGATCACATAAGCCCCATTACCACACACTCATGGTAATGTTATGTTAAGTGATGTTATATTAAGTTTTTGTGGTACATTTAAAGTCGTCTTCTTTGTTTTTTATTTTTTATTTTTTTACGTTGAGATTATAAAAACGGTGGGAGCCCATTCAGAGAGTAATGGGATCCCATTTTATATCAGAGCGTGGTGGGATCTCCAATTTATATTTGCTTTATAAAGCAGAATGGTCCAGACATTAAAGTTTGAAAGTTTGATTGTTTGGCTATTTGTTCTCGGGTTGTATACGGACAAATACCTCTAATCAATATTCAAATGGTTAGCCAATCATAGATCCCACCATGCACAATCTCAAACTTTGCATTTTTGGGAGAAACAATGGTCAAACTTTTTGTTTATTTTCTTTTGGTAAAAGAGTGCTTAATAAAATAGGAACGCTTTTATAATAAGGACGGTCTGAGCTTCAGTGGTCTGATCCCTATTGTAACCCGTGGAAAAAAAAAAAAATCAAATCATTTGAAGCAAAGCTTTACCATGGTTGAATGGCCAGATCCTATTCTTTCGTTTTTTTTCTTTTGTCTTTTTTTTGTTGAGATTAGTTGTAAGGTCCGAGAGGCGCATCTCCAAATCTAAAATATACTTCTGAAGTGAAATTTACCCGAGAGAATAGACGTACAACATGCTCCCGTGAGAGCAGCTAATCTCTTTACTTGTAAGACATGCGTCTATCCGGTATTCACCGAGATCTAAGGAAGGAAAGGGGGAGATTAAATCGTTTGTTTCGAACTCTTTTAACCCTCTACCTATTTAAGAACTCCAACACCAACATTTTTTGGGACAGGGTGAGATGCTGCCATTTGGAAACTTTTTTTTTAGCTTGTTTTTATTAGCATCAAATTCCAGAGAAAATTACCAAAAGTTTCTACAGTAGAAAGATTGGGAAAATTTAAGAAAGAAGTGAAAAGCCCTCAAATTTTTTGTTTGCAAATTAGGATTCGGATATGATTTACTGGATTTGTTTGTTTGTTATATATAAGATACATCACATGCTTCATTACTATTCTCGAGGTTGGCTAGTAACCAAACTCATAGATTGCTCACAAAGAGATCATTTATTTTTGCATATCAAAATCACTATCATTATTGTATCTTAAATTTCAAAATATAAGAGTATCATTGAATAGACATAAATTTCCAAAAAAAAACTATTAGACTTCGTGACTCATGCATGATTGTAACATCTTTGTACAAAAAGATAATGATCTCCTTATTAACAATTAAAAAAAAAAAGAAGCCTAACTTACTAGTATGAAATTATTGAGAAAGAATTTAAGGGTTAGAACACCCACCAAAACAGATTGATACGAATAATTTCTATTAGACCAAGCCCAGCCTGGCTTGGGCTTGGTCTCTATAGGACCAGCCCAAGCCTCGCGGCTAAATATAATCAAATAGAAAATAAAAAGAAATATCGGGATATATGATCCAGGCCCTAGCTTTTTAGTGTCAAGCCAGGCAGAACCGGACACATCACGAGCTGAGCAAACATGGCCCAGAGAGCAAGCAAAGGTCCATCGTGAGTCGAACTGACATGTCCACCACTCAATTGGGTAGGTGTTATCTATACTAAACGACAGACATGGATACCTTGAGCATGCTGCCCGCATTTACTTCTTTTTGTGCCATGTTTACCATGTGATACCTTGAGCATGTTAACGCATGAAGAACATGAAACGAATAGATGTTTCAGAAGATTGGATTGGATATTTTTTTCAAACATTTTAAGACTTAATAGGATTACTATTCAAAAAATAGGAGTTGCATAATATATATATATGTGTGTGAGTAATGATCCTACAAGACCTTCCTACACCCATGTGTGTAGGACCTCAAAGAATCACCATTAATTTTGGTACAGATTTCTAAAAAAGTCAAGTCTCACACCCATGTGATAACTTTTCTAGATATCTGTACTAAATTTAATGGTGATCATTTGAGATCATACACACAGGAGTGTAAAAGTAAACTAGCGTGTTATCCTATCCCCAAAATTTGGGTTCCTACTTCATAGATGGTAAGTCTTCTCAATAAATTTTACCTAATGTACATTGGATTTGTACATAATCTCAAATAATAAATTTCACATAAGGGATCACACCACATCGTATTTTAATCTTATATTAATTCTTTATGGGAAAATTTTATATAGAGCCGAAGATCTAAACAATCAAATTAGAGCTTACCTCAAAGGAATTGTCTATAAAGAGATTATTTATCTTTTGCACTTGGAGGTCATAATCATTATTGTCTCTTAAATTTCAAAATGGTTGGCTGTAAGAGTGCCATAGAATAGATATAAAGTTCCAAAAAAAACTCAGAGACTTCATGACTCACGCAAGCCGTCCAATGTGATATCTAATATGTGGAATGATTGTGACCTCATCGTACAAAAAATAACGGTATCTTTATTGCCAATCCAAAAAAAAAGGGTAATTTAACTAATATGGAATTATTGAGAAAGAATTTAAGGGTTAGAACACCCACCGGAAGGAATTGATACATAGAAATGCACTAGGCCGGGCCTGGCCTGGCTTGAGCTTGGTCTCTATAGGACCAGCCCAAGCCTCGCCCTGGCAGGAAAAAAAGGTATCAGGATATGTTATCCAGGCCCTAGCTTTTTAGTGTCAAGCCAGGCAGAGCTCGACACATCGCAAGCCGAACAGACATGGCCCATAGAGCAAGCAAATGGTCGGAAATCTCATCCTGTTTTAGAGAAACCCAATGTAACTAACTTGAGCTTCGGTTTGAGTCAACGTTGAACGACATGTAGCATAATGAGTAGACGTTTCAATGACATTGAATAGAATAGTTTAGATGAGAGAGAGGAGGGAAGTAGCTGAAAAATGGGGAAACTCAGTAGGCCAATAGCAATTGCTTTATTAAATAGGAACGGAGATTCTTACAAGCACAAGAAGCAATAGAATTGGAACACACACATAGCACCCCTATTTCTCGTCTAAACATTGGACTGCAAACCAAAACCTGGTAAAAAAAACACAAAGGAATGGGGAAACTGCTGGTAAAGAAAGAGATGTACACATCCTAATCGAACCTAAACTCAAATCCTGACCCTTGGAGCTTTTGCTGAGTGATGTGATCGAGCCGCTCGATCATCTCAGGCGTAAAATGGTTCATCCAATCTCCCACCGCCCCCTTCCTAAAAAAGACGTTATTGGGATAACGTCTTTTAGATGTATTCTCCTCACTCTTGTTCACCTCCAAATTACTCAGCTTTTCAAAACTGCACATTTCCACTATCTTCTCAACCTCTTCCTCAACTGGCCTTCCAAGGAAAGCAGTCACCCTCTTCACAACGCCTTTGGTATCAGCGATCATTTCCTCATAGGTAAGAAACATAACCTTTTCGGGCATCTCCTTGCTCGCCTTCAAGTATTGTAGTACATGCTCGAAAAAGGGCCCAAACGGAAGAGCACCCTCGCAAAATCTCTCGAATGTCTCCTCAAAACTCAAATATTCCAAACCATGGTAGGAGAACTTTTTCGTGAAGTGCCAAAACGAGACTATACTGTCTCTAGGATTCCTCGTTATGTAAACAATTTGGCAACCACAATGTTTCAACGACTCAGGCAAGCTGCCGTAAGAGTGGTGAGTGCTAAAGAGCCTAGGAGATGGGATGCCAGTAATATCGGGAATCGGGTCCATTGAGTATACTTCAAGCTCTAGATTGTGAATTAGGTCATGCGGGCTGGTGGAAAGAAGAGGATTTGGCGACTCTTTTTCTTGGTTGAGGCTGTGTTGATTGATGATGGAGAAGATGAGGGACTTGAGCCAAGTGGTGCCACATTTGGGGTATGAGGCCACAAAAATGTCTGTAGAGCGCGCTGAGAAGTGTTTATCCGCAGTTATTGCTGCTTGCAGGAGTTGGGGGCTGAGCATGATGCCTTTCCATTGGAACATGTTTGTTCCATCGGGCAGTTTCGCGGCAGGAAGGGGCAGGGACGATTGGATATCTTTGGGAAAGCTGAAACTAGCCATTAGAGAATATTTAATGTTGGGCACCACCACTCTTTCCTGTGTTTATGGTGGAGTCTCCCACTACAATTTCAGGCACACTATCAGGTATCCTTCTTCCTGTTTAATTGCAATTACTAGCAGGGGGGACAGTGAATATGATGTGACATATATGCTTATTTTCTCCATGGGACAGTGAATATGATGTTACATATGTGCTTATTTTCACGTTGATCACACTAGAGTTTGGGAGATAGGGAGAGAGAGAACGTAAACAGCTTATAATGGGTGTTTCTTTAAAATTTGGGTGTGCTAAAAATATAAAATAAAAAAGAGTAAAGTTGGTTTAGGGGATTAAGAAATACGGTGTAGTTTGCTTACGTATACCTCTATAGGTGTAGAGGTAAGGTGCCCTTCAAATTTTATCATGGTATATAATTTTGATGTAAAATGTTATTAGGATTATCTCAAAATTTATTTTTATATCTAATTATAAAATTTTAAATTTTAAAATGGCTAAAATCAAGTAGATCAATAAACATATGAAAATCTTGAAAATGGACGACGTAGATAATATGTTGTAAAATGTACTATTTCTGAGACTTAAATCATTTTATTTTTCGTAGTCGTGCATCTCGATGTCGAGATGATCAATCAAAAGGTTTTTCAAAATTAAAACTTCCTTTTCCGATGGATTTTTTAGAAGCATCCGTTGTTCTACATTATAAGGTAGCATCCTTATATAAACTTTTTCCTAAAAAATATAATAGATAGAATGTCAATGATGCTAGATAGGTTTTCAAACTACATGTCTATAGTGAAATAAAATTTAAAAATGGGGCTGACAAAGATATTTTTTCTTATAAATTTTATTTTATAATAGTTAAAATCAATTGGATTTATTAATGAATAAAATAGAGAATTTAAATTATGCTCACAAAACAAAATTATTTTAATTATGTTTTAAATTTTTTAAAATTACTAAATTTGATTTATAGCATTTAAAACAATATCAATAAATAAAATTCATTTGAAACTTATCTAAATTGAATATATATTTTTACTATACTATTCAAATTATTTCCAACATGTGTTGCTTTTAAAGAAATTATGAAATTAGTGACATAATTTTTGAAATTTGTAAAGTACATGTTGTCATTTGGTCTTATGATAATGGTATTTTTTTAAAAAATAAACTAATATTTGAATGTAGGACATGTTGGCACCGTGCCACAGCCCCAATGGGCCTTTTTCGTGTTTTGCTATTTATTTATTTTAAACAATTTCAGACCACTCAACGTAAGAAAACAAAATAGTTGCCAACCACAAATTATAAAGATTTAAACCACTCATGGCAATGCATTAAAGTGGTCTGGATTTATTAGTTATGGACCACTCGCCGTGAGAAATCAACGTGATCCAGAACTTCTAAGGAATCAAAGTAGGTCAGGATTAATAGTTTTCATATCTGTGTTCAACCAATATTTTTTCTTTTAAAAGCTTCAAAGCCAAAAGTTCCAACTTTTTTAAATCTCTCCAATAATCTGTCTCCAAAAGAAGCGGAAAAGTTCCAACTTTTTTAAATATCTCCAGCAATCTCTCTCCAAAACAGTTAAAATGATTCTCTTTTCAAAAATTTCAAAGCGAAAGATTCTAACCTCCTTAATTCTCTCCAGCTATCTTTCTCTTTAAATTAAATGATATCAACCGTAATTTCTTTCTCCACTCTCACTCATCCCTCTTTTTTTAAATATCTTTCTTTATATCTTTTTAAATCTCTCTCCCCCTCTTCATTACCCTCCCACTCTCCCTCGTCACGCAACTATCTCTCTCTTTTTGTCTCAAATGTTTCTTACCATATCTACCCATTTCTCTTAGTCTCTTTCAATTTCTCTCTTATTTTGTCTTACTCTATTTTGCCATAGTGTCCCCTCTTCCTTTCCCACCTACTCTCCCCCCTCTCCCTCTCTCTCTCTCTCTCTACACCATAGTTCGTAAGTCGGGGACTATCAATAAATCGACTTACCATAAAATTAAAAAAAAATTATTTTTATTTTAAAAAGTTAGATGAAAAAAATAGGATAAAAAATATAGATCGGCAAAAATACTTCATGTAACGATATCGCCAATATATCAGATGAGACTAAAAAAATTGGATAAGTTAAAACGTTAGAAATTTTGAAATTTTTAAAAATAAAAATTATGTCAAAGCCATCAATAAATAATCCATAAAAAGTTCAACAAATATCAAACCTACTCAAATACATATCAAAAAAGGAAAAAGTTTATATAAGGAGGCTACCTTATAATGTAGAACTACCGATGCCCCTCGAAAATTCATCGGAAAAGGTAGTTTTAATGTTGAAAAACCTTTTGATTGATCATCTCAACATCGAGATGTATGACTATAAAAGATAAAAATATTTTAAGTCTAAAAAATAGTGCATTTTACAACATATTATCTACACCGTCCATTTTCAAGATTTTCATATGTTTATAGATCTACTTGATTTGAACTATTTTTAAAATTTAAAATTTTATAATTAGATATAAAAATAGATTTTGAGATAATCCTAATAACATTTTACATCAAAATTATATATCATGATAAAATTTGAACATGGAACTTACCTCTACACCTACGGATGCACCCTTACGCCAATTGCACCCATCAAAAAAATATACCATATAAATGTTCTCATTAAATACTTTAACAAATACCACGCACCAAAAAATGACACGATTTTTTTATTATTAACTACTTTAACTATAATATAACTACTTTATAACTATAGTTAATGATTAGGGTTAACTTTATAAACATGCTTGCATTTGGGTCCTCTGTTTCTACTTTCTAGATAGAGAAGGGCTTGTTAATAGGGGATCAAGTGAACAGTACAACTCATGTGGCGTAGGATAATGATAAGAAGGATGAAGCAGGTCTAGAGAAAGAAACATGGCTCGTTTCATTTTTTTGGGTTTTTCTCTGTAAAATCAACCAGAATCTGTAGTTCACTGGGGTTTCTGTCTAATTTGCAGGTTCAAAGCTTGTGGTTTAAGAGAGAGAAACATGGCTCTTTTCATTTTCTTGGGTTTTTCTCTATAAAATCAGCAAAAAGATTATGTGGTTCAATGGGGTTTTTCTCTGTCATTTGCAGGTTTTAAAGCTTGTGGTTCTAGAGAGAGAAAGAGGGCTCTTTTCATTTTCTTGAGTTTTTCTCTATATAATCAACAAAAAAGACAGTGATTCAATGCTGGTTTTTCTCTGTAATTTGCAGGTTTCAAAGCTTGTAATTCTAGAGAGAGAGAGAAACATGGCTCTTTTCCAATGGTTTAAAAACCAGATCGGTGATTTGGATCGGGCTTTCAAAAAACCGATCCGGATCGGCGAATCGGCGATCCGGATCGTGAATCGGGTGAATCGGTCAAAATAAAGCTTCAAAAAAATCCGAAAAAATTATTAAAATTCATTATAAATATTTTTTTTTAGGAATTTAATAAAAAATGAGGGTACTCCATTAAGAATTTTCATGTTTTTGAATGAATATGCGAATATTGATATGTTCTTTCCCTGCATGAACCGCCATTCAACATTTAATTTACATCACACAAAAGGATAAACATAGAATTTACATCACCCCACTACTTA